TGTGTGTGTATGTCTTTTGTGGGTGTGTGTGTGTGTGTGTGTGTGTCTGTGTGTTTTGTGTGGGTGTGTGTGTGTGTGTGTGTGTGTGTGTGTCATGTGTGTATGTGTTTTGTGGGTGTGTGTGTCTGTGTGTGTGTGTGTGTGTGTGTGTGTGTGTGTCTAAACTAAAATCATTGTTATTGAAACAAGAAGCTAAAGAAGCTAATCATCTGTTAGCTTTAGCCGTCGGTCTGTTTACATTAAAGATGAATAACTAATCAATAATAATCAATAACTAATCAACACACGATCAATGAATCCGTTTGTGTGACATCAAGAAGCTGAAGAGTTGATTTCTTCTTTTAATCTGGATTCATTTCATGTTTTAGTTTAAAGGCTTTGTTCAACTTGAAAGTCTTAATATTATATATTAACATATAATTGATATATAATATTATTTACCTTTGAAGACGTATAAAGACGTTGGAAGACGTATAAAAATGTTTGAAGACGTTTGAAGGCATATAAAGACGTTTGCAGACTTATGAGGACTTTTAAAGACGTTTGAGGACTTTTTATGACGTATGAAGTCTTTTGTAGGCGTATAAAGACATTTGAAGAGGTTTGAAGACGTATGAAGACTTTTGAAGGCATTTTCTCTTCTGAACAGGAAACATAATCATATTTTACTCTCAGCCGTTTGTATGAGAACGTATTCTTTGTAGAAATTTAAAAGGTTTTTACTTGATCGATAAAATTTAGCTGCAGGTTTTGAGAACAGCTGTAACTAAAGATGGTTTCATTATTTTTATGAATTCTTTTATTATTCTTTTCATCTAATGGTCTTATTTTGAATAAATATATCTTCCCCCTCCCTTCAAAAAACAACATCAATACACACAATATTACTTTTACAAAATATCTATTTTAAAATACAGAAGAACCCGACCGGAGCCACGTACATATTTCTGGTGTGTGTTTGTGATGATACCGTCAGTGGAAAAGCCCCGAGCTTCCCCACAACTGAGCCATGACGTGTGTGTGTGTGTGTGTGTGTGTGTGTGTGTGTGTGTG